CAAAATCTAAACAGTCCCAGCAGGTGGCTCCACAAATCCCGCACATCTCTGCAGCGTCACCGCGCTCCCCGCAGCGGTGGCTCCTGGGACACAGGCGAGGGAGACGCGGAGCCCGGGCCTCACCCTGGATGAGCTGCCGCTGGCCCCGGATGAGCCGCTCGCTCAGCAGCCGGTGCCGCTGGAGGTGCCGGATGAGCAGGTCCTTCTGTCCCAGCAGGTGCTGCGTGCGCAGGCGGCCGGCCTGCAGCGCCGCGCTCTCCGCCTCCCGCTCGTGGGCCCCGCACAGCAGCCGCAGGGCCTCCCTCTGGCCCTCGCTGACCGCCTGCCGGGGCAGCGTCCTCTCCAGCCGCGAGGCCTTCCTCTTGGCGCTGGCCAGGCGCCGCTCCAGCCCAGCCTGGCGGGGAGACCGAGTTCAGGGCACACGAGGGGCCTTGGCGGCCACGCCTGCTCGCTCGACGGACCCCGGTGTGCCGACTGCACTCAGGAAAGCACGCGGGTGCCGGGCTCCGAGGGCGTGTGGCCGCCCCCTGCTTAACTGTGTCTTTATTCTCTGTGATCTGAAGCCCGGACACCTGGGGCCCTGCTGACCCCACAGGGACTGACCTCCCAGGGTCAGCTGAGCCCCAGGGACAGAGAACCAACCGCTTGCCCAGGAGCACACCTTTCAGATACAAACCCCCAGCCCCGAGCCCACACCCACCCTCCTCTGTGGGCTCTCACGCTCTGGCCACTGTCCCCCTGCCCTTGTCATCCAGCCCTGGGTACCAGACAGCTAATCTCCAAATTATGGCAGGAGGATGCCAAGGTGTTAAGAGGTCCTTGGTTTGGCTGCAAAGCTTTTAAGTGAAATAAATGCCACCTGCTTTTAGCAACAGGCCATCACCAGACACGTTGCGTTTCCCAGGAGCCTGAAAATACACCTGCAGCCGTTTAACTCGTGGGCTGGGATACAGCCAGCAACCCCGGCACTTGCCCGAGTCTCCATTATATAAACAGCTCCTATAAACAGCTGCTCTTCTCAGGACACAAGGCTGAGAGAGGACTCGCGCTCCAGAGAGGAGCCTGGAGTCTGGGCCCCCTCTGGCCACGACCCTGTCTTCTCTCCCGAGCCCAGGACCAGACTGGGGGACGGAGCGAGATGCCAGGGGAAGCACCTGGCAGAGGGCAGCTGAGGCTCTGCTGGTTCCACAGAGGAGCGGCTGGGGTCCACAGGCAGGTGCAAGGGTCTCAGTGGGCTCCACACGGCCGCTCGTGCCCCCTGCCATGGCCACAGGCTCCTCTGTCCCCGGGCTTCCTGCCCTGCCCACTGGCCCCGCAGCCCCCGGTGTGGCCGCCACTCTAACAGGGACATGGATTTGCAGCCAGACCCGCCAGGTCCCAGCTCTGCTCCTGCTCTCTGGGGACTGGGAGCCACCTCTCTAACCTCTCTGAACCCGTTTTCCTGCCCGCAGGAGGGTTGCGATGGGCCCTTTGAGGGGAGGCCACTGTAAGCAGCCGGTGCATCGGCAGCAATCAGTAAATGTCAGCGGCTGGTCACCACGGTGTCACACGGACCTGCCCAGTGTCTCTCCCCACCTTGAGGGCCACAGTTTTCCGCTGCTCGGCTAACAGCACGTTGACCTCCTCTCTGGCCAGGGCCACCTCATGGGGCTCGGCGGGCTCGGCCTGGTCCCCGTCTTGGTCCGTGTCGGCCGCCACCTGCTGCTGGGCCCCCTCGGGTGTCCTGGCCTGGCCTCGATGGTGGGTCTTCTCCCGCTCCCAGCTGNCTGTAGCCGGCCCACCCCTCCCGCCCGGATTCCCCCAAGGCCACCTGTCTGTCCCCCGTCCCTCCCTCAACCGTAAAACTTGGACGACAGCAGGCCGAGCTCAGGGCGGAACTGAGAAGGTGCTGGACTGAATCTAAACCAGGGTCAGCCTGAGGCAGGAACGGGACCTGACGGGTGGGAAACGGGCGGGGTGGGGGTGGGGACAACAGCCCCTTTATTTGGAATTCCCCCAGGCAGAGAGCTTGTGTAATTAAGCAAATAACAGAAAGGGGGGGGACCTGAGAAGACATGCACCAAGGTCACAGAGTCCGAGGGGCAGCTGCATCCGGCTTGTCCAGGGCAGTGAGGCGACGCCCAGTGTCCCAGTGTCATTGCTGATAATACCCCACCTTCCCACGCACCCCTGTCTGGATGCCAAACTGCATGGTCAGTCCCCAGCACAGGGCCAGCCCGTCCACGGCAGGATGGACAGTGAGTGAATGCAAGAGGGTCGAGAGAGCCCCGGCCAGTGGACACAGCCTCGGGCCACCCCCCCAGCCTCAGTACCCTCCTGTCACACGGGGTGACCCCAGCCTGCCAGGGATGGCTCTGGGCTCCAGCCTGT